TGAGCTGCAGAAGAAAATGGAAGACCATTATCTCTGCCAAGAAAACCCCAAATGAGGTCATAAAAAGTCAGACATGAGTAACAAACAACAATTAGGATCATTAGTTAATTTTGATCAAAGTCAGACTTTGTGATTTACATATAGACATCTGAGACCAATGAATTTTATTACCAGTTTTCTTCTGGATATTGTCCCCGGGTGAATCTCTGGTGCTTGACACTGATTTTTGTATATTGTACATTCTTCACTCTGTGGTGCCTGCCTTGGCTGAAGTATTTGGGCATCTTCTTCCTTTCCTATTTCAGTTTAAAGCACTCTTGTTCATATCTGCAAAATGGCGGGCAAACACAATTTTACTAGCCCTGGCCAAGAGGCCATCATTGATAGATTTTAGGAGGTGTTTTTGGCCTTTCATTTTCTTTACAGGGTTAAGGAAAAGAGAAGGAAATAGGTATTTGTATAGCACCTACTATGTGTCAGACACTGTGCTAAGCACTTTACAAACATCTCATTTGATCTTCACAACAACTCTGTGAGATAGGTGCTATTATCCCCATTTTTATAGTTGAGGAAACTAAGATACAGGTTAAATGATTTACCTTGGGGAATGCAGTTAGTACCTCTCTGAGGCCAAATTTGAACTTGGGTCTTTCTGATTCCAGACCCAATGCTCTATCCACTATGCTACTTAACTGCCTACCTCATCTTTGTTGTTCAGTCATATCAGTCATGTCCTATTCTTTGTGGCCCCATTTGGGGTATTCTTGCCAAAGATACTGGAGTGATTTGTCATTTCCTTTTCCAGCTCACTTTACAGATGAGAAAACTGAGGAAAACAGAATTAAGTGACTTGCTCAGGGCCACAGGGCTAGTGTCTGAGGCCACATTTGAATTCAGGTCCTCCTGACTCCAGGCCCAGTGCTCTATCCACCACCTGGCTCTCCTACTTACCTCATCTACCAATATAAATATTTTATCCCAGTAGTTCCTATGCCTTTCTTCTGTGAAATAGGAGCTACAGTTCACTACCTCTTTTCCAGAATAGCTCATTAGTTTTGATGTTATTCAGAATTCGACTACCTTTTACCGATCTTTTCATTGACATTGATGGTTATTGTGTAGCTTGTTTTCTTGGTTCAACTTACTTCTTTGCCCCAGTTTATACAATTCTTCCTACATTTCTCTGAACTCATATTAGTAATTTTTTTTGCTGCACAATAATATTCAATTATATTCACTTACTAGTTGTTTTCAGTCACTCATCAATTGCTGGGCACCTGCTTTGTTCCAGTTCTTTTGCTACCACAAAGAGTGCTACTATGACTATTTTGATATAAATTGAACTTTTGTTTCTGTCTTTGACTTCACTGGAGTGTATCCCCAGTAGTGGGATTGCTGGGTTAATTATGTGGTTTTGTGGTAATTCTTTGATAATCTGCTAACCTTATAGAACTGTATAGATCATATAAAAACTGTTTTTCTTCCAAAGAAATTTAAGAGTCATGTTTCTAAATTTCAAGTGTAAAATATTTCTGATAAAATGCCTCAAAATTCAATATACCATGAGAGCCCTTTACAAAACACACATAAAACACATTGGTGTACACTATCCCTGAGACATTCCTGCACCTCTGCCCTAGAGATGTAAGTCCAAAGTCACTCTAGTCTAGAGTAGCTACACACTGGGTCATGAGTTGCTTAATATCTACAGGAGACCCGAGCAGTTAAGTCACTTCCAGGATCTCTCCAAGAATTCTCATTTGCTCAAGAAATCAAACCAAGACAAAACCCACCCCAAATATCTCTTTAGAGTGTATTGAACTCCAGAAGAACTTGCCATCAACTGATGTATTGTGAATTATTTTAGACTAAGTCTGTGGGTAGGACCATCAAGATAAGCTACAGATCTCTACAGGCCTGCCCCAGTTTGACGCTGAATCCTCCCTGGTGTAGATATAGATCTACAATTCAGTGAAACAAATTAGCATTTGTTCTAGAGGTACCTAATTAACCAATTTTTCACTACTGGCAGCAGATGCCATGGTGGAAATTAGTCATATATTTGCATATCACTACTATATTTTGATGTATTTCAAGTTTGAAAAAGTGTGTTTTTAAAATAAACAAGAAAAGCAGCATTTGGATAAATCAGTTCCCCTAGAATAATTTGGTAAAATGGAATATTACACATCTGGATACCTTTTAATTACGGTATCAGAAATCACTTTATATGCCTTAAAGTAATATAATGCAAGCAAATATTTACTTCAATATTCTAATACTTATAATTTCATGTGTATGTGCGCACTTTTCCCATCATCACAGTTCATCAACACTTTTATGTTTTCTGGAGATGCCAAACAGAAAAACACAAAGCCCACTTTGTAGCCAGTCCTATCTTAGATCACAGACTTGGACCTTAAAGAGACCTTACAGTTCATCCAGTCCAACTCCTTCATTTTACCGTGTCCCAGAGAAATTAAATAATGGCTTTTCTGGATTGCTCAGAGAAAACATAGAACTTATTACTGGGCTGATACCTGAAATCTTTCCTGGTTAGTAGTATCTGAGAAACCTTATATATCACTGACATAGCCACTGAGAAAATATGAGTTACCTCCCTGCCATGAGACAGTACTTTTGTAAGGGTTTAGTGGAGGATACAACACACAGTGATGAAGAAATAGATGCTAGATAAAAGATTGAAAATTTGTAATATGAATTTTAAAATTTTATACAATGGCAATAACTAAAAATCTGTACACTATACAGCACTCACTTTTCTTCTGATACCTTTCATGGAGTTTGATGTCATTTTCTAATATGCTTCCTCCCCTTCCCCTATTTTCCCACAGACCTTCTTTTAAAAAAGAAAACTACTTAACATGACAGTATATCAAAATTTGACATCCAAAGACCTTCTTCTCTTTACTGAGAAGTTGTACTCATATGCTCTCTAGAACCAAAGTTTTTCATTGCAAATGATCTGAGTTCAACTGTCTTTTAGTGTTGCTCTCACTTACTTACTGTCATTTTTGTGTACATTATTTCCTTGGGTCTGGCTTTTTCTGCATTACTTCACATATTCCTAATGAATTCCTCATTTATCATTCCTTACCACACAGTAATATTTCATTTATGTACAACTTTTCCCATGCACACTCATATTTTTTTTTGCTATCTAAAGGGATATTTTGTTACATGTGGAACTTTTTTTTTCTGTCACTGATCTCCTTAAAGTATATTTCCAGTAGTGGGACTGTTGCATCCAAGGGTAAGAACGGTTTAGTACCTTGTCATATATCATTCCAAGTTGACTTTTTTAATTTTTATTTTTTCAATTAATAAGCATGCTTTTTTCCTCCCTCCTTGCCCCTCATCCAAAAGAAAAAGATAAGAGAAACAAAACTGTTACAACGAACATGCATAGTCAAACCAAATTTTCATCATTGGCCATGTCCAGAAATGTATGTCTCCATCTACATATTTAGTCTGTTTCTCTCAGCCCTCTGGAAATCATGCTTAGTCACAGTGTGGATCAGAGTTAAGTCTCAAAATTTTTCATTTTTACAATGTTATAATTGTATAAATTATTCTCTGGGTTTTGCTTGCTTCATTTTGTATCAGTTCATATAAGTCATTCTAGGTTTCATCATGTCTAAGAGCACAGACGTGCCCAGTGACATTCCCATTATTTTTTTAGTCATTTCTCAATTGATGAACACCCACACCCCTTTGGCTTCTAGGGCTGTTTTTCGGTTTTTTTGCCATCACAAAAAGAACTGCTATAAATGACTTTGAAATACGAGTCCTTTTTCTCTTTGATCCCTTTACAATATAGGCCTAGTAATGGTATTGTTGGGGTCCAAGTTGTTTTCCAGAATGACTGAACCAATTCACTAACAGAATATTAATATGCCTGTCTTCCCACGGCACCTCCAACAATAATTGGATCTGTTTTTTGTTTGCTTCTTTGACCATCTTTGCCAGTTTGATCAACTCCCTTTTCCAAGCTTTCCATATCAAATTAAAATTCAACAACTATCAAGCACAGTATATGGCACTTGACACACAGAGATAAATTCAGTACAGACCTATTTTTAATCAGTTTACTGTGTAAAAGTGAGGGTAAGCATGAGACAGTATGGTATAATGGAAAGGAGAAGTCAAAAGACTTGAGTTAGTATCCTGATTATTTGCTGTGTAAAAAAAAAAACCAACTTAACTTCACTAGAACTGTTCTCTCATCTGTAAAACGAGCTAAATCTATAATCCTAAGTACACAAATGACTATGATATAAGAAAGAGTGGGCTTAGATTCTTAAAATCTAGCCACTGCTCAGCTTTTTACAATCCAGCCAATAGCTCACAGATGCTCAGATTCCTTAAGAGTCTGGCTAATATGGTGGATCTTTAATAAACTTGTCTTTGGCTGAAAAAAAAAAAGAAAGAAATGTATGAAGGAGAAATGAGGCAAAGTACTATGAAGAATCTGAGGAGGGAAAAAAACATTTTTAATTGGAGGCAGTGAGAGGAAAGGTGGAGGGAGTTATACAGAAGGCTCCATGGATGAAATGACTCCTGAATTCAGCCTTGGAGGAAGAGTGAATCTAGGCAATTAGGCCCTAGAAATGAGTACTAAAAAACAATAGAAACTAGATCAAATACAATTTTTGTTGATTCCAGATGCTGATTTAAAGCACATTTCTCTCCCCTCTATTAAGAGTAAAAGTACATTTCTTCACTTTCTATGAAGAGTAAACTAAATTTAGCAAACTAAATGCAGAATGTTACATGTTCAATTTTTCACAATCACTATATCAGTTTTATTTAACTTTTTTCTTTCCAGGCAAAGTACTATCTGGGAGGAAGTACTGGAAAGAGATTGTTATGTCAAAACAAAATATATTGACAATTTTTTAAAAAAATAAGACATAATGGCCCATCTAAGTCATCTGTCCCACCCACCCCAAACTTTACAAATTCTAAGGCAACAGAAGTTAATTAGACATATTTATTAAAGCTAGCATACTAATTTTAGATAAATCACATTTACGATACAGTATGATTGTCTTTTCTAATATGGTGTACATATATTCATAGCAATATCGAGGTTCCTTGACTAATCAATATATATCAGTTTTTAAAAACATACCTATGACTGGCAGTGTGTTATAATGAGCAATGGACTGTGTGCCCTAAGGCAAGTCTCTCTATCCCTCTGTGCCTAATTTTTTCATCTGTAAAATGAGGGTGCTGAATCAGTTGATCTCTAAAGTTCATTCCAATTCTTAAATTCTATGACTTGGAGTATAGTTTTATTTTGTTATTATAGAAACTTGTTATCATACCTTTGTATTTTCTGACATATTGTATCTTTGTATTTTCGGACATATTATTCATCATGTATGATCCCTGGCCTGGAACAGAACTACCAATTTTAATATTACTCCCCAAGGAAAGTAGATTAAAGGATCATAGAATTAGAAGGGTCCTCTGGGGTGATCTAACCAAACTCTCTCATTGTTTATAGATAAGAAAACTGAAGCCCCAGAGAAATTAAGTGATTTGTCTAAGGTCACACAGGTAATACTTGGTATCTGGCAGAACTGGATTTGAACCCAGGACCTCTGTTTACAAATCCAACATGCTTTCATGTAGCTTTAAGAAGGAAGTATGGTAGAGAATGCAAACTGCCTATATGCTATTACAAAAATATTGGTCCTATTAGAAATAACAGTTACTAAACAGAGGGTAAAAATAATCAGATTCAACTACAGTGATATTGCATAATACTTCACAATTTTACATATAATTTTTATTTTAAATTAAAATGTTACCCAAAAATGTAAATATCTTTTATTTTCAGTTGAAATACAAATGCCTAATACTCAAAAGAAGGCTCTGAAAACTCAATAAAGTGCAATGTGAAATTACAACCTGGAAACAGTGGTATTTAAAAAAAATCAAAAGCAGTATTGAAATTTCCTTTAGGTAATTTATTTTAAAACCTACCATGTTAATGCAACTTAACATACTTTAGGAACATATATGTATGTTATGCTTCCAGAATGTAGAACTATGCAATGATTATGCAATATTTAAACAGGATCATTTCAGAAGTTTGTTTTGACTGCCATTTCTAAAGTCACGTGAGTCAGTCAGAAGAAAAATGAAGGCTGCCCTTTCATTTTTAAAGTGCTTATTTACCATATCCAAAAGTAATGACTTTCATGACTACTTAGCCGTGAAGCCACTACTTAGAGTATCAAAGCTGTCATTCTCTAACTTTGGACATGTAAACTGGTTTTGTTAGCATTAATAAAAGATTGCTTTCAACAGCACTCAATCATATGATTCTTCAAATCAAGATAATGCTATTAGCAACAGCATAGAAGGTGGCAGCTGAACAAATCCAGAAAGTTTAGGAATGGAGCCCAGGAAAGAACAAAAACTTGTTTTCTGTTAAACAGCCAAGAATCAGCCTTCTCTCATATACCATACATATAACTTAGACATGGAAATGAAGTCTCTTACTGTTTTACCAAAAATGAATTCCTACAAAGAACAATTATTTTCATATTTTCTTAAGTCAAACAACAGCAAAATGAAAAAAGCATTAATAAAGAACCCTAACTCTAAAAACCTGAGAATAGGTGCCAAATGCTGACACTAAGCTATTTTTTAAGTTAAACTAAATATCAGAAAATAGGATTGACTTTTAAAAGAAAGCTTGGTGAAACTTCTATCTTCATTTCAACTACATACATTTCACAGAATTATGAAAATTAAAGAATTATATTAATACACTACTTATTTGAGCCATTTAGGCTTGTGCCATCAAACATTAGTAGTTTAATAATATTAGAATAAATTAAATATTCCGAGTCACTTATGCTTCTATTACCTAAAGTGGCTTGGATTTTCCTTGTCATATTCCCTCCACACTTCCCCCCCAAAAAAATTCCCCCACATCTATCCAGTACCCTAACACAAAAATTCGATGTAAAGCTACATTTTTAGAATGGTATAATTATGGTTTCATTTGATTTAATGCTGTAATAAAGCAATAAGGTACCAAGCAGTAAAATTTGATTAAAAATGCAGCTCCTTTGTTTGCAAAGAACATCTTTGTGCCCTAAATTATTAAAACTTAGGTTATAGTAGTTGAATAATACCAATTTGTTTTAAAATAAAGACAAAAACATACTGTTAAATACTGTTCCTAAAAGGTATGTAAGAACAAGGCAATCACTATAAATCTTTTCCTAGATTTACATACTAAAGTGCCTTCTTTTATAAATTATTGGAAAAGTTTAAAGTAGTTTCAAAAATTACTTTAGTAAAATTAGAAATTTTAGTTAAATACTGCATGCAGATGACCAAGAGATTAGTAAATATTGAACAGTACTACAGTGGAGATTAATTATCGTTTTTGCTGAATTCCATTTATAGCAAATGTAGAATGGCCAGCACACTCACTCCTCTCAGTGATGTGTTTAATGTTGTTTAAAAGGGAGTATATTTCCTTTTCTATATCTTGGATGTAAATCATTAAGATCAACAAATAAAGTACTTGCTAATTATAAGCCAAATATCTAAATTTCAAAATTGCTTGTTTTCCTATTTGAGATATTTACCCTATAAAAGGTTAAATAGGATCAACATGCCTTTAAACAAAAACTACACTTACATTTATTTGTTACTATACAAAAGCATTGTAACATAGATAACCATTGCTACACATGGCATATACAAAAATCTTAACCCAACAAAGGGGCCCCAAAATAAGTACAAAAAACCTATGGGAAGAGATTAGTCTCATTTTATAATGAGCTTAAAATCCCCACATAGCCCCACAGTTAAGAATCTGACATATATTAAGATTTTTACCTTAACTCATTTAGCAGTCAGTAACAGAACTGTTGATTAACGTAGATGGACTTATCTTCTTTCTGCGTAGGTTGCTTCCTCAACCATTTATTCATGGTATATAATTTCAGTTCACCTTTTTTTGGCTTTAGTTTGAATTTTCTTGAATGCTTACGAAGCTGGTACTGGATTTAAGACGCTTAGCTAGATGAATTAAAAAATAAAAGTTTAATTAAAGTCTACTCAATTTGATTATTGAGTTTATGAAAATGTCTATATTTTAAGTTGGGATGAGAATATTGCATATTTAAAAATGCATAATGAACCTAATTTCCTCATCTTCCTCAACTCCTAAAAGCATTTAGCTGCAAATGGCTTGCTAGAAGCAAAAAACAAAAGACAAATAAAAACAAAAGCAAAAAAGTGAATTAAGCAGGCATAATTTCTGTCTTCTTGGATCACACAACAAAAGACAGTCATACCAATATCACCAACTACTTCAAAACTTAATAGATCTGCTATTTCATTACATGGGTACTTCCTCCACGCAGACTGCCCATCTTTCCAACCCATGTTTGCCTTCACAGTCTGTATGACTTCATTTCTGCTAATAAAGTCTCCCCAAAAGTCCACCAAATGTGCAGAGGGTCTTTTTCTAGATCTCCTAACACTACATATGCTAATCTATCACACAGTCTAAGTACAGTCATCCCTTATTCTCCCTACCTGACTAGCCCACCTTCTCTTTTTGATATTATTTCTCTAATGACATCTTTTATGTACCTTTCGTATACATTCTTAAGTGATGATGCTGCAGCCTATTTACCCCTACCATATCCCTCCATTGATCTTTGAGTGATGGGCAATTCTGATTTCTTGAACTCCATGGATTTGTACCCATATAATATCACCAGAATAATATTGTTATCAAAAACATTTCTGTTTTAGAAAGAATTTTAGGGTATTGAAAAGTACTGAGCAATTTCCCCAATACAAACCAGCCTACTCTCTTCCTCCTATTTAATTCTGGTCACATCTCTCTGTCCATCTGCAGTATCTCACTAGCTCTGCACAGTTCATCATGTTATAGTCTTGACAAAGGTACTCTTCAAACACATGGTTTTCATAATTGGAGAGTTAGGCCAAATTCTTTGAAGTAATTATGGATCTCATTTAGGAAGTTCTGCAATGTTAAGTATTTAATGTTATCTATCTAATGCTACCTGCAACAGGAGCATCTAGAAGCCTACCATTGGAAGGAAACCTCTCCTCCATCTGGAATCCGAGTTGCGGTCCTTTATGACCACCATGGCCATGACAAACATCTTTAATGAGCGTCTATCTCGTCTGATTGATATTAATAACAAATTAACCAAAGTTTTCTCTAGTGTCAGTCACTATGTACCAGGCACTGTGCTAAGTTCCGAGGATACAAAGAAAAGCAAAAGAAAGTCCCAGCTCTTAAGGTGCTCACCGTCTAATGGAGAAGACAACATGCAAACAATTATGTACAAACAAGCTATATACTGGATAAATTGGGATTAATCATCAGAAGAAAGATATTCAAATTAAGGCAGATCAGGAAAGGCTTCCTGTAGAAGGTGAAATTTTAGCTGGTACTTGAAGGAAGCCAGGAAAGCCAGAAGGAAGAAACAAGGAAAAAGAGCATTCCAGGGATGGGAGAGGGGCAGACAGCAAAAATGCACAGAGTTAAAAGGAGTTTCTTCTTAGAACAGCAAGGAGTCCAGTCTCACTGGATTGCAGACAGAGTATATATGAGGATGCAAAACTTAAGAAGACTGGAAAGTTTGGGGGAGGGAGGGCTTAAAAAATCAAAGGAATCTTATAAGATACTAATATACATATATATGTGAAATATATATACACACATACACATGTTATGTATGTATATATATAAATGAGAGACACCTTGTCAAAGGAGTCGACGGCTACATTTTGCTTTATTGAATTGAATGCTTTTAGTCAACAAACAGTAAGCACAATTGGATCTTATAATCTCTACATCTTTTAGTCAATGGAATGCCATAAAAACATGATCTATATATAGTAGAACACCATTTGTGAAAACCTGCTTGCTTGCTTTCTCCTTTCTTGTATTTTTATCGATATCCTTGACTCATATGTAAATTACTTTTAAAAAAGATTTTGCAGAGATAAGAAAGTAGGCATATGGTTCAAGAGTTATTCAACATCTCAATTTTTTTTCAGTAGCAATATGTGATTTCATTTTTCCAAATAAGTATATCTTTCAGATATCTTCAAAAATCAATCCCCCAATGCCCATAAAATCCTGTCATCTCCAGCAAAGAGCTAGTTTATATTTAATCTTGTTTGAGGCTTTTCCTATATTTGAGGAAATACAACACTAATATCTAGAAAAGGAAATATACAGCATACTGTGTACTATTATAACAAGAGTTTAAATGTAGTAGTTCCATTGTAATCGATGAAGCAAATTGTTGTAGAAATTATGGCAGATATTTTCCATTTATCAGCTACCACCCTCTTTTTAATTTTATCCTCAAATGATCTTGAGAATGTCTAGATTAATTGGAACTTGTATTAAGCTTTTTGTAAACTCACTGCTGCTCACAATTTTATGAGGGAATACTACCCCTACTCTTTCCCATCCTTCCTTATATAATTTTGTCAGTAAGTTTATATTTTAAAACAGGTATGGCCCTTGGTTGCCATATCTCTATAAGACAAGGAGATCAAATGTTTACTGGCTGAGGTGATTTCCAGGCCTTTTTTTTTGTGCCTCCTCAAAATGGTGATGACTTTTATAAGATCACTGATCTAGAAGTTGAAGGAAACTCAGAAGTCTATCTAGATATTAGTCAAATTCCTATGGGAAATAGTGACAACCTCTATTGGTGCTCTGTTCTTTAGGCGTTTCCCATTTTTTACACCAATAAATTGCTTACATACCTCAGGTTCAAGCTATTCTTTTCATTTCTTACTCTTTCATCTAATTTGGTGTCTATTTTTACCTTTGATAATAAGCCAGTGTTCTGATGGCACATGATCAGCCGATTCAGAAATGACTGCCAGCTACACTGGTTACCAGTCAATTCAATTCTTTTAAGATATGACCAATTTTATTTTTGTGATATTATTTGGTGATTCCCACATCCAACACCTCCCAACAAGCCCATGCATTTGATATTTTGATTTGAAGACTCTTTTCAAGTTAAATGCATGATGATTTACCTTAAAAACATGGAAAGAGTGCTTGACTTAGGAATCAGAAAGACTTGGCTTTAAATCCATCTTTGACACTTACTAGCTATTCGACTTAGTCTCTCTATGCTTCAGTCTCCCCATCTCTAAAATAGATTATAACTGTAGTACCTATCTCACAGGATGATTGTAAAGATCAAATAAAAAAATGTAGAGTGTTTTGCAAATTGTAAAGTACTATATATAAATTGAATACTCCTAAAGCAAGAGTTCTTAACCTTTTCTGTATGTTATAGACTCCTGTGGCAGTCTGAGGAAGGCTATAGAACTCTTCTCAGAAAGTTTTTCAACGAAAAAATAAAATACATAGGATTACTAAGCAAACCAATAATATTTTAATAGTTATCAAAATACTGAAAAAACAAGCTTGTGGACCTGAGTTAAGAACCCCTGCCAAACCATGGTGCCTGAAACCTCTCAATTACCACATCTAATGGCCTTTTCTCAAAGCTCATTCTTCTTGACCTCTATGTAGACTCTGACACTGTCAATTATCCTCTTCTCCTTCAGAGGTTTTCATGACACTGCTTTCTTCTGGTTCTCCTCCTACCTGCCTGATTGGTCTTTCTCTGGCTCCTTTGTTGGCTCTTCATCCACATCACCCCAGGGGTTTAAATATAATCTCTATGCAGATGATTGTCCAGCCCTAACCTCTCTCCCAGTCTTTAGTTCCCCATCTCCAACTGCCTTTTAGAAGTCCTGAAATGGATATCCCAGACATCTTAAATTTAACATGTCCAATGCTGAACTCATGCTCTTCCCCACTCCCCAAAATATTTCCCTCTTCCTAATTTCCATATTATTGTTGAGGGCACTGCCACTGCTATCCTCAACTCCTCATTCTCACTCACTCTCCCATTTCTGATCAGTTGCCAAATCCTAGTGTTCCTTTGTAACATCCCAGGGTTTTTTTGGTTGGGTGTTTTTTTTTTCCAGTGAGGCAATGGGGGTTAAGTGACTTGCCCAGGGTCACACACTAGTTAAGTATCAAGTGTCTGAGGTCGAATTTGAACTCAGGTCCTCCTGACTCCAAGACTGAGCTCTATCCACTGCGCCACCTAGCTGCCCCCTGTAACACATTTAATATATGCCTCCTCTCTTCTGACAGTGCAACCACCCTGGTCTAGGACCTCACTCCTAAATAACCTGCAGGTTGGTCTCCTTGCCTCAAGTCCCTCATCACTCCAATCCATCCTCTACTCATCATCAAATTGATCTTTCTAAAATTCAGGTTGACCACATCCCTTCCCCCTCCCTATTTAATAAACTCCAGTGGCTCCCTATTACCTCCAGGAGCAAATATAAAATCCTTTTTTTAGCATTTCAATCCCTTAACAACTTGGCTCCTTCCTACTTTTGTAGTCTTCTTACACCTCACTCCCCTCCACATACTCTATGATCCTACCATGCTGGTCTACTTGTTCAACAAGCCACTCCATCTCCCTACTCCAAGCATTTTCCCTGGCTGTCCCCCACCTCCAGAACATACTCCCTCCTGATCTTGGTCTCCTGGTTTCCCTTCACATCTCAGCTAAAGTCACACTTCCTGTAAGAAGCCTTTCCTAGTCCTCCTTGATCTTAATGCCTTACCTCTGAGTTACCTTTGATGTATCCTGTATATATCTCATTTGTACATAATTGCTTGCATGTTGTCTTTTCCATTAGACTGTGAGCTCCTTGAGAAGAGGGACCTTTTTGTTTTTAAACTTTCTTTGTATCCTCAGAGCTTAGTACACTGCCTGGCAGGTAGCAGGAATTTAATAAATGCTAGCTGGATAAACTGCCTGTACATCCTCATCACCCCCTCCCACTGGAACTCGGACAGAGTCTACCCCTGGGACCTCTGGCTCTGATATATGAGATTTCACTTTATCTCAACCCAAACCAAACCACAACACCACTTCCCAGACATTTTCAAACCATGCTACTACAGATATACTACCTTTTCCCTCTAGCCTTCTTTAATGTATTTTCCCCCGTTAAAATATAAGTTCTTGGAGGGCAGGGACAATCTTGCTTGCCTGTATTTATATTCCCACTGCTTAGCACAGTGCCTAGCATATAGTAAATGCTTAATAAATGCTTATTCAATATTCATTCATTCATTCATTCTTAATGCTACTTACGCAAAATGAGTTTTCTTTTCTTTTGCTCTGAGTGAAGAAAGCTACTAAGATAGAAAACTACTGGTAAAAAGAGAATGAACACTGAAACAGCAATTACAGGAACTGTATCACTGCAGGGAACTGAACAGTTGAAAGTTCGACTCCAAAGTTTTCGAGTAATATTCATCTGAAATTTTAAAAAATAATAACATGAAACCATAGCATACATTAACATATGTCATTCATGTACTCTTAGAATTTTTTTTTGTTCTAATCTTAAGATGTTTTGGATTCAGAACACATCTACAACCTAAAAATCTATTGACAGTCAAATAAAATTTAATCTATCAGAGAATTAAAACTTGGCTTCCTTTTAAGTTATTTTATTCATGTTCTCACAAAGAAACTTTAATGTCCCAAGTTCGAAATAATGTCCAAAACATCCTAGTACTAGTCACATCCTTTTAAAGATTTTGGGCTTCAAACTGAGGTAGACAAAACTGGATAACAAGAATACAGGTATTTCTTGGTTGGGTATTTTGGGTTTTGGTTTTTTTTACCACCTTACATTTCATCAATCTAATTATCCAAGGCTCCTAAATAACATCCTCTATATTTCATTTCCCCCTTCTTTGATATTATATTCCTCACTTCCAGGCACAGATTTTTCAGTTTCAGTTGATATTCACCATAAATTATGTCAGAAGTCAAAGCTCCATGAAACCAACTTTGTATTTCTCCCAGGGCCTAGCAGGGTGGTGTGCACATAGTAGGTACTCAGATATTTGCATTAATTGATGAAGTAACCCTTTACTAATACACATGCACCATCTAGTGGCAAAATGTAATCAAGTTTAACCATTGTGGGGGAAAATTATATTTTTAGTTTGCAAATCACTTAGTTTCACAGAAAGCATTGTGGTAAAAAAAAATAGGGACTGTCTCTATTAATTATAAGTATGCTACAGACTGAAATAAAGCTACGTAAAAGTGTTAGTAAAAAATCAAAAAGTTCCATTCCTAGGTGACACTACTGTGTGACTTCAAAAGAGAAGCAAGATGGTATTAAGTACAGGTGTAAAACTCACTGCCCACAAAATTTCAGAGCTACCAGATTAAAATATAATTGGGAAATGTTTAACAAAATAAATAAAAATAGGATAAAACAGATATGTTAGTTTCTAGTTTTCTAAGTCAATATGTGGCCCTGCAGGAACCCATTTCTATTCGAGTTTGCCATCACTGATGTAGAGCAAAGAATATTGGGTTCAAGAACAAGCTCTCCCACTGTAGAACTAACTGCAGAAAAATCACTGAACTTCTATGGGCACCTTGGTGTTCTCATCTGTAAAATGTGGACAATGATGATTTAACTACACTCAGGGGATTATTGTGAGGAAAGTACTTTATAAATTGTGAGATGACACACTACATAAATGAACTATTATTCTAGCAACAAGAATTTAAACAACATGGATAGCACTGTTAATTTTAGAACATAAATAAAAAGGTAAGGGGATGGCAGATTCTATTTCAAAGCCATTTCTATTATATGACAACAGAATCAAAACACTTACTGCATCTTCCACATCAATGCATAGATGTGTTCCAGGTTCAGCCTTATTCTCATGTTCATTCTTTTTTTGCAGCTCACTATAAAACATACTCAGGGTTTTGTATATTTCCTGGCAGTTTTTGCACACTTCTGTGTAATTTCTTTGCTGGAGAAAATTGGTCAAATCTCCCTAAAGAAAGCATACATAATATATATAACACATTTTAAAACTTCAAGCATCTGTGATTTCATTGGTGTCTCATTCTCTAAAGTGACAAAACTGTGGCTTTTCTATACTTTAGTACATGGCAGATTGCTATGGCTGAAAATCCATCACCTTCCAATGAACATTTTAGTGACAAACTTCTTGGACAAAGACAAATAATTTGTGAGCCAATCCTTGGAAGTCCTCTCAGTTTGGAGTTCACTGCTGGAGTTTCCCTTTAGGAACCCAGAGCCACTTCAATGTCATAATGAGTTGTGGGAATACAATTTTTGCAAAAGACTTCATATATACACATATGTACATACACACATCAGATATATAAAGATATCTCATATATACACATACATACACAAGTGTGTGTGTTAAAGAAAAAATCTTACCACTTTGAAAGATTTGCCTTATTTCAATAAATTCATTTGGGTTTATTTGTTTACAAGGGTGAAAATATATTTATTATAAGTTAGCAGTTCCCTTTTCAATTAGAGGAAAAAGAATGTAGGTAATGGAAGGTATAACAAATGCTTGTGTTAAGGAACAACTTGAAAAGGTTTTCCTTGCTACATCCTTTCCCTTCCCTCCCCTCCCTCCACCTGCTATTTAACATGGCTCTTCTTCAGATTCTACTGCTACTTCTACATGATTGAAGACGAAGATGACAATGGCTTATGTCCTTTCCCTCTCCTACCCCAGCTATATACTGGAAAAGGTCCCAGTTGGTACTTTGCACTCAGAGCAAGATGTGGAATAGCAGAGTCACCACAGTCCCTGGTAGGAAGGTAGGCAGCACAACTAGAGTAGCTTTTGTTTTTCTGTTCCACAGGCATAGTAGCAGCCACACTTAGAAAACACATGACATGGAACAAAGCAACATAAAAGAAGCATGACTGCCAATCAATGACATTGTATAGATGTTTCTCAGCCTGCACAGGAAACAGTATTAAAAGATGGTGTGCTATAACATGGAATAATAAGACTGAGCACACAGAAGTGCTATTATCTTCTTCTTACTGATGTAAAACTCTTACTTTAGTTAATGATAACATATGCACCAAATTAAGAGGTTTTTGCTCATTTAAATCTTCAGGAAATTAGCAATCACACAACAATCTAGCCCAGGATTTGGTGCTCATCTGCTTCATAACCAACCACTGAGCAGAAGAATATGCTGAATGATATTGTTTTTGAGAAGTAAAAAAAAAAACGATGACTAAATTATAGGCAATGTGTAATAGAACAAATAATCACAACGGGACAATGAACCTTTCCAAATAACTATGAAAAACAAAGAAAAAGAACTGAAAAGGGAGAAAACCAATTATTTACTAATAATTGTGGCTTTAACAATATATACATGAACTACAAATGGTGTGTGCTTGTCAAGCCATTAGGTAGTACTGCAGCCTCAAAACCATGTGCTGTTATGTATGTATGCTCCATGTATTATCTATAAGTTCATGTTAACAGAGAAGTGTATGCTGTCCATTGTTACTTTTATCAGTTTTTTATTTTCCAAAATCAATGACATTTTCTCAGTCCTTATCTATACTTCTTAACGTTTCTAAAGAATCTATTACTGTTGACTACCTTCTCCTGAATATCTTTCCACTCAGCACTTTTCTGACACTGCTATCTTTTGGTTCTCACCTCACCTGTCTGACCACTCTCCAATACTATTTATTGGATTGTCATCCATATCCTGTCCCATAACTGTGGATATGCCCCAAACTCAGTTCTGGGGTTTCTCTCTCTACATTCTCTAAGAGACCTCATCAACTTCAATGCATTTAATTATTTTCATGGAGATGACTCTTAGGTCTGTATATTAATCACAGATTCATTTTCTCCTGAGCTACAATTCCCTATCACCAACCTGTGTGTGTGTGTGTGTTTACACATCACCAACTTCTTAAGGGAAATTTCAAACTAGGAATCCCATATACATCTCAAACTCAACTTGCCCAAAACAGAACTCTAGCTTTCTCCCAAGTCCATTCTTCTTCCTTCTTTCTCTATTTTTATCAAGGGCACCAACATCTTTCCCATCTGTGAGGTTGACAACTCTAGGGTCATTCTTGACTCCTCAGTCTTCCTCTCCCTAGATATCTAACCATAGAAATAGGAGATAGAATGCAATGTGTAAGTAACAGAGAACAGGGCAGGACAGCTGGATGGTACAATGAAAAGGGAAGTAATATAAGCTAAATCCTGGGGTAGTAGGTCATGTTATTGCTAATTTTCTGAAGATGTGTATTGTGCCCTCAACAGAAATAGAGAAGTTTAGTAGAGGAGTAAGTTTCAGAAATAGAGAAAATAATGAGTTATATTTTAGACTTGTTGAATTTGAGATATCTCTGGGATACCTAGTTTGAAATGTCAAATATGTAGTTGGTGATTTGGACTTGGGGAGACAATGTCACCAAAAGAAAAAGAGTTGTGATATAAGACAAGCACAGTCACACCTAGGGGGTAGGTCCTAGAGCAAAGAAGAATTGAGAACAGTGTAAGGAAATATCAAAGAGGAGAGAGAATCAAGGAGGGTGGGTAGTCAGTCAACAGTAACAAATGCTGAAGGTGAAAAAAGATAAGGATTTAGAAAAAGTCATCAGATTTATCAATTAAGAGATCACTGGCAACTCTGGAAAAAATAGTTCCAGGTAAGTGATGAACTAGGAAGCCAGACTGAAAACAGGGGTGAGGATTAAATGTGATGGAAGAAGTAGAGACAGTGAGTGTAGATAGCTTTTTCTAAGAGTTTGGCAAAGAAAGGAAAGACAATAAATAACAACTTGAGAGGAATGACAGGATTTAGTTTTTTAAAGGATAGATAGAGACACTTGGGCATATCTGAAGGCAGAAGTGAAAGTGCCAAAAGAGATATTAAAGATTAGAGAAGATGATTAAGAGGGCATTGTACTGGAAGATGGAAGGGTATGAGAGCAAGGGCACATGTAGAGGATGGACCTTGGCCAAGAAAAGGGACACTTGATTATTAAAGATTTGTAGAAAGGACGAGAGAGTGGAGGGTTATGTCAAAGGATCTGGGGATTAAGAGAAGGGAAAAAAGAGCGAATTAATGGCCTCAATTTTCCCAGTAAAGTAAGAAGTAGGATCTTCAACTGAAAGGGGTGGGAGGAAGGGGAGGTATGAGACTCTTAATGAAAGAAGAAAGGTTTGGAATAGTTTCTGTGAGGAATGAGATAGGGATAAATCATTCTACTTCCTTCAAGGAATTAACAGAAGATTACCAAACACATATATACTAAATTAAATATAAGCAAAGAAATAATACTATGTAGTGGGTTGAATCTTATCCTCAGCAAAAAGTTTAAAATACCTGAAGATTATGCTCAAAGCATGTCAAAGTCTGATTGAATAGATCAAGGAACTTAATTGTGCTGTTTGATAGTTCTTCACTATTATTTGCTAAACAATCTGAAAAAAAAAAGATATTTCATTTTACAAAAATTATTTATCCAGTTTTTACACAGTTCTATAGTCTCAACATATTGTGAATTGTTTTATATTAAAGTAACAACTTATTTATCTGATGTCATCAAGGAAATATATTCTACACAATGAATTTTCTTGGCAACTTTTCCCTTTGAACACCAGCATTTCCTATCTAACCATTTCTGATGGAACTCTTTCTACACGCTTCTCTGCCTTCTAAAGAATAATATTCTAAAGTTTAAGCAGTTCTTAAAAACTCAGGATTATTATGAACATCAATTATTCTACTCTATTGTAGAGCTATTCAGGATTATAAGGCCATTTTGCCCCTTTGCAAATGTAAAGTTCTGATTACTACTCAAAACTTTTCTCCTTTCTATGATGTTTATATTTCTTCCCTATTAGCTGTCACTTTTTTTGCTGCTGTCAATGTACCTGCTTCTAGTAACAACTCTACTTCTAATTAGCTGGGAAACCAGATTACTTTGCACATGACTTGAATTGAAATGACTAGTTAGAAATATGTCTAAAATGAGGAAAAAAGGCTCTTGATAAGATCTAAGGAACTCTATTAGTAAAATGTATGACTTTCATGCATGCCATCTAACTGAATTTAATTTTGAATCTTTTGAGTTATCAAGCAGTTTAAAGCAAATTTAACTCCACTCATTGTTTCTTCTCTTGAAAAGTCCTAGCACAAAGCTTTCATTGTCCCTCATGTCCCCAACATTCTACCCCCTTTAAAACCCAAAGAAGTACTTTGAAAAGTCTACCTATAAAACATTTTAAGAATTACATATCTATTTTACAGTTACATTTAATACCTTACATTTTATACTGTTTTGAAGCACTTTTACATTTTGTTGTATGCTTGCATTTGGGCAAATCACTCATGCTGTCTATGACCTAACACCCCCATCAATAATCAAACGACATCAATGAACTAGATGATGACTGAGATGCTGTCCAGCTCTAACATGCTGATATGTGATAATTACCCTTACAACTTGCCTGAAAAGTAGGTAGAATATGATGACATTCTTCTGACAGAGGAGGAAATGGAGGCACAAAGATTTGTCTAAGGTTATTTAACTAGTTTGTGGTAGGACTTGAGCCCATGTCTCCTAACTCTCCTAACCTGTGTTCACTGCATTGTAACTATGTCACCAATTATTTAATACTTATGATAAGAACAGGTCAATTAAGTCAAATAATTAACTAAAACCTGTTTTTGTAATTCAGAATCATGATAACAATATTAAATGGAAATAATTACTTACTTGCACAATTTGCTTCTTTCCACGTGGTATTAAAAAATTCAGAAAGAATCACTACAATTTGCATCCTGTCCAACATCAAGAGATTTTTGGCACAATTATGGCTCTCTGACATATTCTAGAATGAATTAAAAAAGAGAAGGGGAAATGGAACAACATATTCCTTTGAGTTTAAAAAAACACACACAATTTTTTTTAACTTATCTAAATAGACAATTGGGGCACCACATCTTACATAAATGATAAACAATTATCATTAATCATTTAACAAAATGCCCAACAATTTGCAAAGTGTTTTTCAGTTTAAAAAAAGTGCTTTCCTCAAAACCATCCTGTAAGATAGAGTAACAAAATGAAAATATTTCCACCACCGTTACAGAGATGAGAAAACTGGCTCAGAGAAGTTGGATGATTTATGCAGGAACAACTCAACTTTTTACCTACTGTCAGATTTGTAGAACCAACAACACATAAGTAGCCATTCAGTGGGAGGGAGGACAACAGAGGTAATAATCAATAGTTTAAGTAAACAGAGAAGGAAAGGGAAAAAAGTGTTAAACAATACATAGGTAACCAAGTAATCTGATTCCACTCAAAGAATGGAAATCAAATACATTAATTCTTTAATCACAGAACTTCAATTCAACAAAGGAAACAAATTACAAAAGGATGTTAAATTGCATCATAAGAGACTGAAATTTGAAAGATGAGTGTAAGCAGCACAAAACTTAACAAACTTCAGACAGCAGGGAAATATAAGACTGCTATGGCAACTCAAAATAATGCTCTGTAAGAATGTTTTCTTAAAATGTTTGAAAAACCATAACCAAAACAACCTACTTACCTACCTTTTATGTTTATATAAATTGCTCTCATTTTTAGTATGGGATGGCCCATACAAAAATAGCATTATTTAAATTGGCAGAGTATTAAGGAGGCTGGTTTTAAAGGGCCGTTTTCTATTAGACGCTTGCACAGAGTCTTTGCTTCTCAAAAGTATTGTTGCTTCTACACGTTAATACCAAAATTTAATTAAAATATGGTGGCTGAGTTATAACAAAAATGACTAAAAAAAGGCATTTGTTTTCATCTTCATCACCAAGATCTGCTTTTTGTTCTGTCACATGAACTAGAAGAAAACATGATGCACAGTTTTACCTAAATAGAATGATTTTCAAAGTTTTCCACAGAACATTTTAATAGTAACGGAAACAAATTGTACAGATAGTTATTATACAATTCCCTAAATTTGTTCATGCTTGACTCTATCCTCATCTTAACCCCTATATCACAAAGTACTTAAGATTCTTCCTTAGTAAAACCTCTTATAGGTATACCTTCCTTTCTACTCCACCACTATGATCCAGAGGCCCCTGCCACTCTAGACTCAGAATTATGTCATTAATCTCCTAACTGGTCTCCCTGCCCTAATACATTCTGCTCACTATCAGTTTAGTCTTCCTAAAATATTGTTTTGCATGGCAACCCGTGCTCAAAAATCTCTGGTATATATATTAGGCAGCCAAGTAAAGTCTATACTCAGTCTTGTACTCAAGGTGCTCTATAATCTAGCCCCTATCTAATGTAATGGAAATACAGGATTTGGAATCGAAGAACCTAGGCCCAATCCTGCATACTACCTGTAGACCTTGGCATCATACCTCTATAACCTTTTACAGGAATAGATCATTGCTAAAGTCTCTTTCTGGTTCAAAATTTTATATCCTACTACACTTCTCCACATGTTGACAGATGATGTGGTATAGTAGTAAGAGCACTGGACTGGTAATCATAAGATATCTGTATTCAAATCTCTCCCTCCAAAAATAGCTAGAGGATCCTAGGTAAGTCAGTTAATTACCCTTTATCAGAACCAATTTCTTCATCCATAAAAGGATATAATACTACTTGAAGTACTTGCTACTTTTTAGGGCTCTTGTAAGGATCAAATGAGGTCACATATGTGAAGTAAAAATGTTAAAATTCTAGATGTTAGCTATTACTATTATGAATTATCTTCAACCCTAGTCAAACTACTCTACTCGTGGGCCCCAAACATGTCATTCTTATTTCCCTGTCTTCACACTTAACATTTCCCCTGCCTGAAATACATTCCTTCAATCCTTTGCCTTCCTTATCTAAATCCATATTTCCTTTAAGGTAAGTTCTATCTTCTATAAGAAGCCTTCCCTGACTGTCTCAGTCCACAGTTTTTTCTCTTATGTTACTCATCCTTGTATGAAATTTTTAAGGGAAAACCAGATTTGACTCATATGACCTTTACAATAATAGCAATCAACAATTATATAACACTTCAAGGTTGGCAATGCACTCTACACATATTTTCTAAATTGATGTTCAAATTCTCTCTGAGGTGGGCATTACAGGTATTATTATTCTCATTTCTTATTGTTCGTCACACATGACATTCTGAGATCTCCATATCTCTGCCCAGATTATTCCCTATGAATGGAATGCATTCTGTCTTCACCTCTGCCACTTAAAATTCCTAGGTTCCTTCAAAGCTAGCTTCAAGTGCCATTTCTTACATAAGTCTTTCTTGATACCCCCAGCTATTAGAATATTTCTCTAAAATTTAAATTGTATTTATTTCTATATACTTCTATGTGAACAAGTGGTACACATTCCATCCCCTGGTCAAATATAAGCTTCCCAAAGGTAGGGACTGTTTCATTTTTCTCTCTATATCCCCAGTGTAGTACAGTATTTGGTATACAGTAGGAGTTTAATAAATGCTTATTTATTGATTTTTTATAGATGAGGGAATTAAGGCCCAGAGAGGTGAAATTAGTCATGGTCACATGACTAGTGAGACTGTCTAGTAAGGCTATACCCAAGTCTCTACTGATTCCAAGACCAGCACTCCTTCCACTAGACAACAATCGCATCATAATAAAAATCCACTGTAAGGGCCACAGCTGCCTATAGAGACAGAGGTGATGGTGGCTGCCATGGTCTAGGTAAAGGATTGCAGTAAATTAGGTGCTAGGGCTAGAATGGTATATGAGATGAAAGAAGAAGGGACCTTTAATGAGTAGTAGAATGGAAAAGGTGAATGTACATGTGGATGGAACGAACTTACTGGGGAAACTGTAAGGATTTGTTCCTCCTCCTTCAACTACTAAGGTATGGGAAGTTTTGTCTAGAATTGAGGGTGGTAAAGACCATAGATGAGGCAAGAGGATATGGGGAAGGAGAGCAGCAAAAAAGGGTTTTTACTCTAAAACTGAACAACCCAGAAGTCAGAAATGGGGATAAGGCAAGAATCTGGGGACTCCAACTAAGGAAGGAGGGTAGCACAAGGCTAACTATTGGGAAGAGAACAGAAAGGAAAAGTATATATAAACTGCATATAAACTGACATTTTTGTGTCAATTGAATCACTTTAGCTGCATTGATTTTGCTTGTGTGTATTTCTAAAAACATAATTTACATAGTGGGAATTTTTCTACTTTTTATTTTTTTTTCTTTTTAGGCAGTTGGGGTTAAGTGACTTACCCAGGGTCCGACAGCTAGCAAATGTCGAGTGTTTGGTCTGAGGTCACATTTGAACTGACTCCAGGGCTGGTGCGCTTATCCACTGCACCACCTAGCTGCCTCTCAAGCAATTTAATAATCCAGCTCTGTCCCTTAGTGTATGTGACCTTAGAGGCAGCTAAGTGGCATAGTGGATAGAAAACTGGGCTTGGAAAGGGGAAGACTTGAGTTCAAACTTTGCCTCAGATGCTTATTAACTAACTACGTGACCCCAGGCAAGTCACTTCTGCCTGTCTCATATTTCTCACCTGCAAGGAGATAATAGGTTATTGTATGGATAATACGACAAAATAATACACAAAGCATTTTGCAAACCTCAGAGCACTACATAAATGTTAACTATTCACTCACTCTCTTCAAGTCTCAGTTCCTCATCTGTAAAATGAGGAGGTTCGACTAGTTTCTAAGGTCCCTTCCATCTCTAAATCTATGATCCTACAATCTAAGAGGAAGGAATGGTAATGACTGTCTTCTACCAAGAGCAGACAACAAATTAATTGGTTCACACTGGGATTCAGAACCTACTACTCTAGATACTGGGGGGTTAGAGACATGGTAGCCCAGAGGTCTTCTTACCCATTAATTACTCTTCTCCTTGAACTCCACCCATAAAGGTCCACCCATACCAGTCAACTTCCTGTTCTGCACACAAAATGTTCTAACTTCCCTCTCTGTGCCTTAGCATTAGCTGTCCCTTCATATCTAGGATACACAGCCTCCTCCCTTCTCCTTCTCAGAATCCCTATGAGAGGCCTTTCTAGGTTCTTACTATCCTATCTCTTCCCTTTGAAATTATCCTCCATCTACGCATTCTCACTCTGTGTATGCTTGTGTACATACACACAGACACAAGATTTCTCTCTCGCTCTCTCTCTCTATATATATATACACACACACACACATATACATATATAAACATATGTATATACTAGGCACACATATACAAAGACAGACAAAAGGGAGAGGAGAGAGTCTCTATGTATATGTTGTATGTGTGCATAGACGTACACATATCTTGTATGTTAATAGTTGTTTGCATGTGGTCTCCCCCATCAGAGTGTGAGCTCTTTGAAGGCAGGAACCACATTTTTTGCCTTTCTTTGTATCCCCGGCTGCTTAGGACTGCTTGAACACATTAAAGACTTAATAAATGCTTGTTGCCTGACTCAAGCATCACTTTCTAAATGGAGACTTTGCCAAGCACATACACACATAAATACATACATACACACACACCCCCGAGGCTGATAGCGCACTCCCACCTAATTACCTTATATTCGCCTCATGTATATGATTATGTAGTTATACATGCTCTATTCCCCCATTAGGCTGCAAGTTCCTTAAGGGCGGGGGGTGTTTTCACTTCGGTCTCTGTATCCCCAGAGTCTGGGACGAAGCAAGTTCTCAATAAATGCTTGTGGACTGACTGGCTGGGGACCCGGAGAACGGCAGAAGACACCCCTGAGTCTGGTTGCCAAGGATCAGTCCTTTAGGGGAGCCCTAGACCCCGCCCCGCTCCGGGGTCCCAGATGACGCCCCGCCCCAGCACATGCGGCCAGGGCCGCTCCCCTACCCACCCCGACGGCTCGGCTGATGTTGTCCATCTTGCCGGTGACCTGCTGGAAGAGCGGGAAGCAGCTCTGGCAGAGGCGCACGGGCCGGGCGCTGCGCACCAGGCATCCCGTCAGCTCCGCGCTGCTGTTGGCGAAGTCCAGCAGCAGCTCCCGGCACTCGGGCTCCAGCTCGGGCAGATCAGGGGGCAGCGACAGCGACGGCGGGCCCAGCCCCTGGCCCTGCAGCAGCGACAGGGACAAGTCGCGCGCCTCCAGCACCTGCTGCTCGGACAGCAGGACCGGGCGGCGGCGGAGGTCCAGCGCTGGCGAAACTGAGCCCAGGCCGCTGCCGGCGGGGAACAAGTGGCCCTGGCCCAGGCAGAGTCCCGGCAGGAGCGCGAGCAGCAGCTGCCTCCACAGCAGGGCTCCTCTCGAGCCCATCGCGGGAAAGCCCGAGCACGCGAGGGAGTGGCTACGGCGGCCCCCTCAAGTCCGTCCGAGCTCCCCACGGTTAGAGACCACTGACGGCTGCTCCACTTCCGGTCCCCTCAGTCCCGGGCTCCCTGGGAGAGTCACGGGGGTGGAGCGTCAGCGCCAGGCTCCGCCCCACGCCTCGGCTGCACTGGCCAAACCAGGAAGCCGCTGGGGAGGGTGAGGGCCTGCGCTTGGATATACGCATGCGCAAGCAAAGGGGCGGGCTCCAGGTTGCAAACGAGTTGTTGAAGATGCTCGTGGAGGGTAGGGCTGTACTGATCGTAGGCCCCGGCGAGATCCGACGCCTTTCGGTTGAGTCTGTCGGACCGGCACCTTAGTGAGGGGTGAAATCTAGCAGCTTCGCTTACCAATTTCAGAAACTCATTCTCTCAATGGGCCTCTTAATACCCAAGAACCCGAGAAAGCTCACCTTGGCCGTTCCTATTTCTGGAGCATGGGGATGTAAGAAGAAATTACTTCACGGGCCACAGAAAGAAGGAAAACAGTAATAATAATAAAAATAATAATAATAATAATAATAATAATAATAATAACAACAGCAACAATAATATCTGGCACTTGTATAGCACTTCATATATCCATCTTCACATTGTTGTGAGGTAGGTGCACTTATCCTGTTTTTGCAGATGAGGAAACTGAGGGTCATAGAAATTAATCTAATTGCTTAGACACAGCCTGCTGGCAAATGTCTGAATTAAAATTTGAACCCAGGTCTTGATTCTGAAGGCCAGTGCCCAATCCGTGCACACTTCCCAAGGTGGCACTCCCCCAAGGAGCACAAATAGAGGGTGCTCCTCCAGTAACAAAGTCAAGCTTCTACCTTTAGACAAGTGTGTCTACAGACAAGTCTTAGCAGGGGTAGGGAACCTGCAGCCCGAGGCCGTATGTGGCTTTCGGGTCCTCAAGTGTGGCCCTTTGACTGAATCCAAGTTTTATAGAACAAATCCTTTTATTAAGGGGATTTGTTCTGTGAAATTTGGATTCAGTCAAAGGGCTGCATTTGATTAATACCCTTAATAAGAATGAAGATAAGAGTAAACACTACATTTATCAAGTTTGCCACCTCATAAGGGCTTAGTTCGTGCAGCCCCAAAACAATTACAATAGTAACATCAGAGATCACTCATCACAGATCGCCACAACAGGTATGATAATCATAATAGAAAAGTTTGAAATATTGTGAGAATTACCAAAATGTAATATGCTGCATAATATGAGCACAAGCTGTTGGGAAAATGGTGCTCTAGGCAGAGTTGCCACAAATCTTCAGTTTGTAAAAAAAAAAAAAGCCTCACAAACACCCCTCCACACACACACAATACCTTTGAAGCCCAATAAAGTGAAGTACAATAAAAGGTGACATGCCTATATCTCCCTTAGACTTGGTTTTCTCCTTCAATTCTATTCATCAAGCATTAAGTATTTACTACATGTCCTGCATATTATAGGTTCTGGATATATATATATATATATACACACATATATAAACATGAAAATGAAAAGTCTCTACCTTCAAGAAGCTTATGTTCTATATTCATCTACAAAATGAAAGATTTGTATGAAATAGTCCCTGAGATCTTTCCAAATAATGAATTCTATAATCTCTTGCAAATGTGAGATCAATATTTGTGTGTGTGTTTTAGGGGCAAGAGAAGTAATTCAAGGATTAAGTAACTACTACATTCCAGGAAATGTACTATGCCTTTAAGATACTATTTTAAAAAAAAAAATAAAGTTCCTTTTATAGTCTGGTAGGAGGAGACGTGTACATAGCTGGAGACTGGAAACTTTTGGTAAAATTGCCTCTACCAACTTAGGTCTGCACCTTTTCTGCAACTTGATTTAAGATAATTGCCTAAAGCATACAGGTTAAGTGATTTGCACTGGGTTACATAGACAGTATATGCCAGAGGTGGGAATTAAACATAGGTCTTCCTGGCTCCAAGGCCAGCTCTCCACTATACCACACCACCTCTCATACAGATATATACACAGGCATATACAAAATAGATACAAGTTGATTTGGGTGGGAAGGCATTAATGGTTGGGAGGAAAATGTCAAAAAAGGCATATGTAGAAAATGAGGCTTGAGCTAAGCCTTAAAGGGAACTGAGGAGTCTGAGATACTGAAATGAGGAAGGAAGGAATTCTGCTCAGAAGATAGAGTTTCATATAGGAAGAACAGTAAGAAAGCCGGTTTGCAGACCATAGCGTGTGTAAAGGGGAATAACATATAGTAAAACAAGGAAAAGTAGGTTGGGGCTAGATTATGAGGGGATTTAAATGTCAGACAAATTCTGAAACGTTTACTAGAATTGCCTGTGTAGGGAAGTGATATAGTCAGAGATAGCAGCTAGGTGGTGAGGTGGAAAGAGGACCTGGCCTGGAGTCAGAAAGACTCATCTTCCTGACTTCAAATCTGGCCTCAGACACTTACTAGCTATGTGACCCTGGGCAAGTCGCTTAACCCTGTTGGCCTCAGTGTCCTCATCTGTAAAATGAGCTGGAGAAGGAAATGACAAGCAACTCTGGTATCTTTGCCAAGAAAACTTCAAACGGGGTAATGAAGAGTTGGACATGACTGACTAACAACAAATGGTCAAAGATGTGCTTTAGGCAATTCGGTTTGGCATCTGTGTGAAGAATGGATTGGAGAGGAGAGAGATTAGGCAGGCAGACCAATGAGAAGGCTATGGATCAGGTAAGAGGTGATAAGGGCCTGAACTAGGATGATGGTTTGTGAGCAGATAAAAGGGAATAGATGCAAGAGATATTGTAAAGGCAGAAATTACAAGATCTGGCAAATGTTTGAATGTGTGAAGTGAAGACAGAAGAATTGGAGATCATACTGAGGTTTCAAACCTAAGTGACTACCAGGATAGTGGTACACTTGACAGAAATAGGGAAGTTTGATAGAGGGGTGAGTTTAGGAGGGATGATGAGTTCTGTTTTGAACATAGTGAGTTTTGAAATGTCCATGGGACACACAGTTTGAAGGAATAAAGATTCGTGAGTCATCAGTATAGAGATGATAATTAAACTTAAGTGAGCTGATGATGTTATCAAGTAGAGAAAACAGGATCCAGGACAGATTCTTGGGGTGTGCTTGGAGGAAGACCCAGCAAAGGACACTGAGGAGCAGTCAGACAGGTGAAAAGACAGTAGTGTCACAAAAACACAGAGAGAAAAAAAAGTATCCAGTCGAAAGTATTCAGCACTGGCAAATAATAGATCATTGGTGATTTTGAAAAAGGCAATTTAAGTTCAGTGATGGTGTAGAAAGCCAGATTGTAGAGAATGTAGAAGAAAGCAAGAAGAGATGAAGTGAAGGTAACAATTTTAGATAGCTTTTTCAAGTAGTTTGAGCCCAGCAATGTCCTAGTTGTATTTCTGATCTTTAGTTCATCAAATTAACCACCAGGATAGTGAAGGCGCTTAAAATCATGCTACAATTGAAGGAATTGGGGACATTAAGCTTGGAGAAGACAATCATCTACTGCATCCCAGGCCATCACCGGTCATCTTGACTTTTGTCTTGCCACTGGACTTTAGTGACTCTGGAAGAGAGAGTGAAGGTGACAACTTTGTGCAACTCTGCCTCACTTAAATCCAATTCACAGGCAAGTCATAGCCTCACCCCATGATGTCATTAGTCCTCTGGTCCTCTTTGAAATAAAGGTCAAACATCAGTTGGGAGATAAGCAAACAGATTAGATAGATCGGGAGATAAGTGAGTAGAGAGGCGGATAGGTAGGTAGAACATTTGTTAAGAGCTTACCATGTATCAGATGTTGTCCTAAATCCTGGGAATACAAATACAAGGATGTAATAACAATTCCTACTCTGAAAGAGTTTACATTTTAATAGAGGAGAAAGAGATCAAAGAAACAAGAAAAGATTCCATATATACCAAAATATAGCAGCTCTTCTTTATGTGTTGGCAAAGGGCTAGAAACTTAAAGGGATGCTCATCAATTAGAGAAAGGCTAAACAAATTATAGTATATGAATGTAATGGAACGCTATTGTGCTATAAGAAACAACGAAGGGAACGGTTTTAGAGAAACCTAGGAAGACCGAGTAGAACCAGAAGAACAGATTATACTGTAACAGCATTGTAAAAAATAACTTTCAAAGACTTAAGAACTCTGATCAATACAATCATCAGCCATGATTCCAGAAGAGCAGTGATGATGAATGTTACCCACCTCCTGATAGAGAAGTGATGGACCAAATATACAGACTTAGACACAAATTTTTGGATATAACTAAATGTGAGAATTTATTTTGCTTGACTATATTTGTTACAAGGTTTTGTTTTTCTTTTTCCTTTGGGTGAGGGGAAGCAGAAGGGAGAGAAAACAAATGCTTATTAATTGCAAATAATAATAATAAAATTAAAATTAAAAACCATTTTAATGAGGAAGACGATGTAAAAGAGAGGCTAGAAAGCAAGAGGATACTTTGAGATGGCCTGGATCTTAGCAAGATAAATGGAAAGCTTACTAAGCAGAGCCAAGATGATTCCAAGAGCAGAATCTGGTGTTTTATTTGGGCAGGAGGTAAAGATGATGACTTGAGTGAAGAAGATATGACATGATAGTTTTTTTTGGGTATTTGGGGGACAACCTATGGAAGAGGTATTAGATTTGTTCTGCTTGTCCTCAAAGGATAGAGCTGGGAGTAATGTAAAAGAAGGCAGTGTAGTATAGTAGAATAGAGCTCTGCATCTATAGTCAGAGAACCTGAGTTCAAACCCTATCTCCACCACTTTTTGTTAGACCTGGGACAAGTCATTTAACCTCTCAGAGTCTAAATTTCATAAGAGTCATAATTCATCTCTAAAATGAATGAGTTAGATTAGATGACTTCAAAGAGCCCTGCCAGCTTTGAGTTCATGATCTAAAGTTGGGCAGAAGCAGATTTAGGCTTGCTTTAAGGAAAAAAATCCTAAAAATTATGTGATACTTCAGTAATTGTCCAGTTTGACTGGACTATCATGTATATGAAGTGTCATAATTTGTAATAAAGTTGGAAAGATAGATCAGGGCCAAGTTGCAAAGTGTTTTAAATGCCAAACAGGAG